CCAAAAATAAATGGCAATACTGTTTTCTATAATTATGTACATATTTTTCGAGAACATTAGAATATTCACACAATATACCGATAAGATGAAAAAAACATTTTATGTATATATTAGGAGCGCAAAAAAGTTCTAAGCCTTTTTTGCAAAATTCAAAATTTATTTAAAAACAAACAAAACTATATTAATCAACGAAATATTCCCCGTTTGCATCGATGACCTTTTGTCATCTTTCGGGCAGCTTGCGAATTCCCTGATGGTAGAAGCTCACCGGCTTCGAGGCGATAAAGTCATCAATGCATTTTCGTATCTCTTCAAGTGTCACAAAATGTGTATCAGCCAAGAAATGCTGCAGAGACCGGAATAGGTAGTAATCGGAAGGCGCCATGTCTGGGCTATACGCCGCGTGCGGGAGAAGTTCCCAGCCTAACGCAAAGATATGGTCCTGAGTCACTTTCGCAACATGTGGTCGGGCATTGTCATGAAGCAGTATCACTTTACGACGTCCTTTGCCAGTAAATTGCCTCTTTTCTTCAAACGCATCGCTCAAATTGCTCAATTGTTGCTGATAGCGATCTGTCGTTACTGTTTCACCCGGCTGTAACAACTCGTAATACAATACACCTTTCCAATCCCACCATATGCAAAACAAAACCTTCTTGGCGTGGATATTGGTCTTTGGTGTCGATGTCGAAGGTTGACCAGGGTCAACCCATGACTTTTTACGCTTATCATAAAGTATCCACTTTTCATCACCTGTAATGATTTGGTGCAGAAAATCCTTTTTCCGGAACCTTGAAAGCAAAGTGAGTGCCGTGTCACGCCGTCGATTTTTGTTGTCTTCGGACAGTGCATGCGGAACCCATCTGCCTTCCTTTTGAACTTTTCCCACTGCACGTGTAAACGTGTGAAAATGGCTTGTCGCGTAACGCCAAGTTGCTCTGCAAGCTCCTTTTCAGTTTGTGCAGAGTTTATATCCAACAATGCTTGCAGTTCGTCCGTTTCAATCTTTTGAGGGCGTCCAGCACGCGGTTCATCTTCAAGACTGAAATCTCCTTGGCGAAATTTTTGATACTACCTTTTATACGTAGCATAACTTACAGCGTTCTCTCCATATGCAACACAGATCATTTCAGTGGCTTCAGCAGCATTTTTCTTCAAATGAAACGCGAAGTGGATGAAAAATCGAATATGCTCTTTTGTTATTGCCATCGTGAACACTGCTGATTTTAAGGTTATGTGCATCAAACGCTAAATCGCACTATGTTTCGAAAGACCAAATGTCACTGCTTTAAAACCGCAAGAGGGCGGGAAAATTAATGCAATTTAAATTGTGGTTTCAGTAGTATGAAATCTAGAGCTCAGAACTTTTTTGCGCTCCTAATATATAGAATGTTAAAATGAAAGATAGTTTAATATTTTATATATGTGAAGAGTACATGCAGTAATATATTAAAATAGTATCCGAAGAAGATTATTGTTACTATGTCAAAAATATTCATAGAATGTTCATAGAATGTTTGAAAGACAAATTATCTAAATTGTACAGTCGTTTGCAAAACAGTATTGACATTTATTTTTGGTGCAATTTTAAATCATGGCCAATGGTCCAACGAGAGAATTTGTTTGATCGAAAGTTCCATATCTAAATTGGTTTTTTATTACACCAAAGCATACTAAATGCATATATTCTAAAGGAAAACTGCTAATCATATCAAAGGTATTCTTTCTAAAATTGAATTACCTATATGATGTTCTGGTTGGACTCTGTTACGAAAATTTTCATCCATTCTTTTAATACAGTTAATTTTAGGGTAACTTACTCTTCCTTTTATATATTTTCCTTTTTGCGTACATTTTGTACATAAAAAAAAACCAATATGGCCTTTACAATAAGTAATAAATGATTTTACTGGAGCATCACAAATAAATGCTTTAATTGCAAATGGTATCATATGGTTTTTATAAATAAAACCTTTTTCTGATAATTTTATAGCTTCTACTGTAAAGTCTTCTAAGAAATCATTTACGTTACTAAGCTTTTCATAACCATGATATACACCTATCACTCCTATACATTGAGGATATTCATGTATCGAGCATAATATGGGTGTGTTGAATAATATTTGAGTGTTAGAACTTTTGCTAAGAGGTAAACCATCAATGTTAACTAATAAATTTAATTTTTGTGGTTGTTCCTCTAACAAATTGATAAGCTTTTCAATTGCAGATTGAACTCCAATGTGTGAATAAATGCCTGAACCTACAGGTTTGCTGAATATGTGTCGAGGAGTATGGAGCAAAGTTCTGGGATCCTGAGGCACACAAATATTAGTTTCTGATTTTAATAATTGTAGCAAATCTCATAAAGCTGAATGTGAAATGTTATGCGATATTGCTCATAATCGTAATTTATTGATAAAATTATTTTCATTATCTTTTACTACATTTGGTCTCAGATCTATTGAAGTATTGCATTCTGTAATATCATCAAAATTATCCAAGGAATCTGAAGTATTAGAACAGTCTATTTTACTATTATCACATTGTAATTCTATATTTTACATGACTGTTGTATTGGGTTCTGAAATATTGTTATTAGTATTACATATTGATACATTATCAGAATCACTTGAATAATTTTGTGATAAATCTAAACATGTTGTGGTTCCTCTCTTTATTTTTCTATATAGTGTTGCTTTAGAGAATCTACGTTTCATATTAATAATAATCTTAAAAGTAATATTGTTTAACCTCTAAAAATGATTGTGCAGTGTGTGTGTGTGTGTGTGTGGTAGCGCCTTGGTTATTTTTCACACAATATAATACACAAATCACGCTTTTATTATTCTACAAAAAATAAAAGTATATTTTTATTGTAGGAAAACCAAGAAAATGCACAAGGTATAAATAAAGGTATAATATCAGACTAACTTTAGTCACAGCGGGCCGTCAAGTGTTGTTTATTATACCGTTCCTTGTACTATGCTTTCTATTGGTCTGTTCTTTTCAGCTGCACTGCTACACGCATCGGTGTAACAGTGCAGCTGAGAAAGACAGACCAAGAGTGGCGTGCTCGTTTGAATTCGTTGCTCTGACTAGTTTTGTTACATTCAGTGAACATTTAAGGAATATTAATATAATATTTCTACCGACGATTTTTATAATATTTTAAGTAGGTTTATAGACTATTCTACAAAATAAAAATATTCTATTAACATTTATACATGATTTCGTTGAGAAGATTCTCGTAACAATATATTGGATGCAACATTGAATATTTATAGAATATTGTGTGTTATCTGGGTTATTTGGATATGAATGTTACTAGAATATTACGATAAACGAAATTCCAATGTTTGGTCACAATGTCATCATCTTTCTTACATATTACTTATATTTGTTTATTCTTGTTTATTATTGTTAACACAACTGTAACGATATAGTCAAGCGATATAAATATTTCAGAAACTAAAGTGATTATTTTAAAGTGTTTATATTTATAATGCAGCATATATATACATTTGCCATTTTTATATTATTTTTGTGTCATTTATTGTCAGTGACGTTTAAGTGACAAATAAAGTCATATTGACATCATTATGATATTGTTATGACTTCTATGTTCTACCTGGAGATGTGATCTCGTTAGGGCCCGATTTTCGATGTATTCGTTTAAGAATGTCCTGTTTAGCTTTGTCGCAAAGTTTCTTTATTACCCTCCCATCAGGATGGCATCCGTCTGGGAATTTTTCAGTATAAAGCCTTTCTGCTGCCGAGTAATTATTTCTATCCTCACCCAATGTACGAATCATGTTCATAATTTCATTTGGTGGATATTCGACCATAATTATAATAAAAAAAAGCAAAATAATTATAATAAGGAAACAAAAAACTTCGCAAAAGTACAAAAAATTTCTATCCTAACAAGAAAAGTTAGTAGATAATAATATGCTTTCCTTACAATGAATAAACTCCCACTGTTTGTTTAGATCAGAAACTGAGCGACGATATTGACAACTGTCTGTAGCGTGAGCGGAATAGAAGTCCGAAGAACGATACGTTTGTAACGTAAAATTTTCTCCAGTGTTTTCTGGATTTTTGGATCGTTTACCGATTTTGTCTTGACCGGCCGGACCATGCCTCGATCTTGCCTTAAGTTAAAAAGTATTTAACAAAAAGGTATTTTATTATAGGTTTTTGGAAAGCTCTTGATGTAAGCTAGAAGAATATGTCATAAAAAGTAGGTAGTTCTATTTAAGAAATTGAAGGTGAGCTTCACCTGACCTTCAAGCAACTATTCAAGGTCACACTAATGACACCATCTTATGTCCCCCACGAAACCATACAACTTTTGTCTAAAACATTTTTCCATCCGAGCACTTTCTGCAATGATAACCGAGGTGCACTATTAAAATGGGACATCCTATAATTATATATAATTATATGATCTTTTCCCGAATTTGTATTTATTTTTATAGAAAAGTTACAATATAATACTTATTAATAAACAAATATAATAAATTGTTAAAGAAAAAATAGAAAAAATGCAAAAATTTCTGCATAAATGGTTCACTTATGCATGTGTAAGTTATATACACCGCGTGAATACATAATAATTAAAAAAATTCAAATTTAGCCGGAATAAGTTCAATTGAATTCATATTTTATTCTTTTATTTGTCACAGAAAATCATAAGTTGCAAAAAAGTTCCGATTTTTGTGGTGCCTGCAATTACATTTTTTTTCTCTAGCTTCACTTTCTAGACAATAGATAATTGCAATATCGAGCGTTTCATACGAAAAACAACATTCTTATTTAATAAAAATGTCAATTATCAATGAAATTCATAGTCCACATTATTCGCCGTATGTAAATAAACTGAAAGATAGGTATATAAATTTACAAGAAATATCAAAATAACTGTCCTACACGAAAGCATTTATTCGATTTGTGTGTGGTACTGCGCGCAGCGCCTAACTTGACGAAGTGACACGCACTTGTGTGCGTGCGCGTCGCGTGATATGGGTGCACATATACGAGACTGTGTGTAACGTGTGCGCGCGCGGACGTTTGTGCAACACATTATCCACTGTATCTAAATATCTACGCCACCGCGAAGTACAGTGCATCTTGTCGATTTTGGCCGATGCGTCGTATCGTACATTTACGATAGTGATTTCCAGCATTACGACTTGTAAAAACGACTTATTCTCGTAGACTCAACAGAGTCCGCTTTTTCACGAAGCGCCAACGGATTAAAGGAACGTCAACGTCGGTCGCAACCTATATTTTTGTACTACATGGAAGGGCCATGTAACCTACGTTGTGAGTATCAATGAACGATCATTTCGTTTAATCGGTGTTCTCTGCGCGATAACAGGTTCGTAATTATGCGAAACGGCGTTAGGCCGCGGTACTCTTAATCGCGTTCCGGACCTGCTACCGCGTTTGAGGTTATGAGAGCGTTTTTATGTAATTTCTGGCTGCACCCATCGTGTACAAAGCTTTTTCCTTGTCTTTTTACTTCGATTTGTTTTTTGGATACTGTTGATATCGCACATCATGAAACGTATATAAGCGAATAAATTGATTTCACTTTCAGAGTGAAGTGTAGCAAATGGAAGGTTTTAAGGTGAAAGATGAACCGATGGATGCATTAGCCATAGACAGTCAGGTTATGGTAAACTTTTTGTATGAAACACAGCAGCACGGTATTTGGTATACTGCTGGTCCTGTCCAGAGTCTAACGTAAGAATTACTTTAAGGATGAGAACATTGTGAGCGTCGTGCTTAAAGAGGAACCAGGTGACAGATTTGATCCCGACTACATGGAGGATATTTGCTCAGGTACTTTCGAGAAGGTATTTCTGCCTATCGAAAACAATGAAGTGGATTTCTCTAATGAAATGGTAAATCTATAATATTAAGGTAAAGGAACAACAGGCCATTAAGAGCCTACAGGTGGATATTTGTATGCAAATTTATAATATTTATTATTTGACATCAAAAACCAAATTAAAAACCAAACATTTTAATCCTACTTTGTATTATGTTAGGTGACCATTAATAATAAGAATTATATCAGTAATATGATTTTAAGTTTAATATTTGGTTTATAATTTTGTCTCTGATATCAAGTATTAAGTTTTACAAGTTTGCACACAAATATTTGCTGGTAGGTTCTTATTGACCTGCTGCTCCTTTAATTTGATTTTATATCCATAGAGAGAACTTTCATCTTCTTTTTTTCTAATTTATAACAATTATAACTATATCATTTTTTAATATATATAATTGATACATTTGTTTTTTCTATTCTTCAGAGAAAATATATATTTTTATTTAATATACAATTAGACAAGAATCAATGTTTATAACATATATATTTATCATACTTTTTTTTCATAGAGTTTTATAAACCATTGCAGGTGAAATTAGAATTGGAAGGAGAATCTACCAGTCATCATAATTGGACAGCGCAAATAAATGCTAATTTATGCGATAAGGAAGATAGTGTAATGCAACGATGTTTGGCTAACACAAATTTTCTACAAGCACAAGACCCTGAGAAGCACGGATTTTGTCAAAACGGGCAACAAGCGAAATTTTATAAAATACAATGCTCAATTTGTAAGAAGTGGTTTCTGAATAATGATTCCATGGTAACACATTTAAGGATGCATTGTAGTGGAAGTCAGTGTGAAGTTTGTCAGCAGAATTTTTCTGATAACTCCAGTTTGCATGCCCACATGTTGACTCACGTTGGAATGAGCCCGTTAGAATGCAACATCTGTCAGAAACGATTCGCTTATAAATGGTGCTTACGAAGTCATATGCAACTACATGTGTTGGATAAGCCATACGATTGCGATGCGTTGCAGCAAGCTTTTATGAAACGAGCAGGTATGAACGATCAGATGATGCATATGGAAGAAAGACCTTTTGAATGTGATGTATGCCATGCATCGTTTAAGGAGAAAATTACTTTAAATCGGCACATGTCCAGCCATGTTGGAGATAGATCCTATAAATGTGAAATTGCGGCATTTAGAGAAAAGGCAAAATTAAATATGCATATGCCGCTTCATATGGGAAACAAACAATTCAAATGTACATTGTGTCACAGAGCATTTGCTCAAAAAACAGCACTCAACAATCATATGCTGGCCCATAGTGGTGAGAAACCACACGCATGCAACATTTGTGAGAAAACATACAAAAGAAAATCAGAATTAATTAGGCATACTATGGTGCACACCGGCGAGAGACCATACGAATGTAAAGAATGCTTGATGACTTTTCGTGAAAAAGCCAAATTAAATTCCCATATGCTGGTTCATACAGGGGAAAAACCACACGAATGTCATATTTGTCACAAGGCATGCGCACGGAAATCAGATTTAAACAGCCACATGTTGCTGCATACCGGCGGCCAGTATGATTGCAAAGTCTGCGATAAGATTTTTACCAGGAAATCTGATCTGAATAGACACACTCTAATACATACTGGTGAGAAACCGTTCGCCTGCGATTTATGCGACATGGCATTCAGGGAAAAGACTAGATTGAACTCACATATGCTTATACATACTGGCGATAAGCGACACGCCTGTCACATTTGCCACAAAACATTCAAAGAGAAGTCGTCGTTGAGGAAACACATGTTGAGCCACACTGGTGACAGACCGTACGAATGCTATGTGTGTCACAAAGCTTTCACACAGAAGACTACTTTGACCAGCCATATTCTGGTTCATGCTGGTGAGAGACCTTTTGAGTGCAGTTCTTGTCAAAAAATATTCAAAGACAAAGCAGCGTTGAAAAAACACTTATCGATGCACGTTAATGAAAAAACTCACGAATGTCTTATCTGTATGAAAAAATTCGCCCATAAGACAGCATTAAATAATCACTTGTCCACGAGCCACATATCCTAACTACACGGATCTAGTCTATTACAGCTTTCTGTTTCTTTACATTGAGCACCGTACGTTTGTAGTTATATAGCATATTTCCAATAATTATACACCTATATTTGTTTTATATGCCAATAGGTCTGAAAGTCGTATTTTTTCTTGTGTATGGAGATAATAAATTAATTTCTAAGTAATACTGCCAGTCACTTTACGCTCCTACCTAAAGGACAAGTGAAACCATTAAAACGCTTATATTTCGTACATTCCATCTTGAAACTGATACTGTTAGATCTATACATTTATAAAAATTAATACTTATACAATACGTTATTGGCAAAAGAAACAGAAAGTAATTTATGTTACTCCGTTAAATTGAAAATGATGAAGATACATAAAAAATATTGGATATATGCCATTGCATAATGTTTATTTAATCCATGTAAACGAAAAAATATTGGTCAACTAGGTAATTTTGATAATTGTGAGCTAGATGTAACCAATCATACCTGAAATATAGTATGACAAGATTCTATAATTTTATGTAAACAGTACTATATATCAAATTAAAAAAATTGTAAGGTCAGTTAAAATTACTAAATATAGAGTCGTGATGTTAATACGTCGTGAATCAAATTACTGGCTATTTATATAACTTATAATATTTCAGTTAAAAATATTATAGGTTTTTCAGTTAATATTGCAAATTCAGTAAACGGATAATAAAATATGTATCAACGATATGAATCAAAATAAGATTAATTTAATAATTCATTATTCTTTAAAATATGTTTTTTAAGATATGTTATTTATGATGCATATAGCCAGAGAAAGAAAATTTAATACACCAGACTCAAACTATTGCTTGCAGATCATGTTTTCAAATGTTTTCACCTGATCCTATAATGTACAATATTGCCACAACGTCTACAATTGTTTCAATTTTTCCTTCCTTGATTATTATACTGACCTCTGCCTATATCTTTTCGCATAATCTCAATGAGCTCTATTTCCAGATCTAAATTATTCATAAATACATGTATAAAATTTGTTATAAGTTTCTAAACTGTCATATTGAATATAGCATGACACATAGCATGAAACAACAAATAAGATAAAACTTAATGTAAACGTTAGGATACATTTGAATCCCGAAAGCCTTATGAGATCTAGATGATCATCTCTAATTAATGACTTAATGTTATTTGGTAGACAATAGCAATAAGTGTTATTCAGAATCAGCGATATCTTAGAGTATTTTGAATCATGATTTCAAAAGTGTGAAAAATAGGAATAAGTACATATACACAAATAATTGTTGCGACTTGCGTGTATAAAAAAGTGATGTTTTATTGACTAAACTGATTTATCTCAATATGTGATACGATAAACTAACATTGAATGAATATCATAGTAACTGTTAATTGATAATTTTAACAGTAGTCTCGATATGATATTCTAAATTATTTTATGTTGGCATGCAATACTATTGGCTGCAAAATTTCTCTGAGGTTAATTGTTCAGTCTGATGTAGCCTTAACAAAATTAAAACTACATCAATTGTTACTAACTTGTTATTAACAGTATCATGGCTTACCCACTTGCGTATTATATATTTAAATTAATACCAATATTAACGAAATAAAAACGAAATAGTAATTTTTATCATCCTTATAGCACAATGGACTCGCAATGGAAAGCCTTAACGAAGACAACTGACCCTATGCGTCTAAGATATTCTTTTATATAATTCTCAGCGAGCTATAATTACATTTGCACTGTAAAAATATCTGGTTAATAACTCGCTTGTTTACATGTAACGGATGGGCGATATGCGAATCATCCATTCTTTCAGAATGTTAGGAATGAATGTTATCATCTATGTATGCGAGATGGAGTTAAATTCTCCATTTATATATTTGTATAAATTAATTGGTTAAGATATGTTCTGATTAAGTCAATTTTATTACAAAGTCGAAAGTATTATAATGTCGATTGTATTTTTTAACGGATCCTATAAAAAGTTATGCTGAGAACTATCAAACGCTACAATTTGATGTGGCGAATTATTGATTATATAACGGATAATTAATGTTTGCAACGTAAATAACCACACATATAATTCTAGGAAGCTTGTTTACTTTCTATTAATCAATCAGAGTAAGCGTACTAATGGACAGTGTACATACAATGGAAAAATTCTATCTGTCCATAGTAGTATTGCAATCGTATTAAATAAATGAGATATGTGTAATAAATATGAAATTTTTATATATAAAGCATATAAACAAATTATGTGTTTCAAGTACTAGGTAGTGATTGGTAGCGCTAACTAAATGTATATTATATTTTGCAATTATGTCATCGTCTGCATGTATTATGTTCTGCTTAATATTCATCTTCTGATTGAAATATTCATCAATACTTGAATTAACCTTTTACATCAACAGGATGATTTCTTGACCAACCTGTAACACAACAACATAATAATTCTCATATACGCGTAAATATTTTATTAGTGAAAATATTATAATATCTTACAGTCAAGTTGTCGAAAAATGTAAAAAGAATTAAATTATATTTAAACAAATTACATATAAAGTTATAATTATTTTTTATAACTACTATTTTTTAACAAATTTAAATAGTTACATGTGCCTAAAGGAATATTTCTAGAAGAAACTTACTTTCGGCATTACTGGCAAAGGCAGAGGCACCATTGGAAGCTCAGTGATTGAGTTCGTCTTGATTTTGTATTCCATCGGAAGACCAACTTTCGCTATCGGCTTGATTAAAATGATTGCCATCTCCTAAAAAATAAAATTATATAATTTGTTTATTATACATATTTACATATGTACATATTACATGTATAATCAATTTAAACACATTTAAAACGATATTAATTTTATTTATGTACATGTATTTAACATATACTTAATACTTCATATATCTTTAAGAAAAATAATTACTTTTAAATAATTACAAAATAAAATTTAATTGATATGATTTTTGATAATATATTAAAAGAAATTATAAACTTTCATTTAAAAAAAAATTAAATCTTTTTTGTTGCGAATATCTTGTATATACTATTATAAAATATAAATATCGCGAGTTGAATTGCAATTTATGCCACTTTCCAATTGTTTTATAGTAGGTAGATATATTAAAGAAATTATCATTGTTATCATCGTCAAGTATTACAGATACGAGAAATTAATTATGTTAGTAATTTTGTAAGCAAAGAACGAAGCAGATACTTAGAGCTGACGCTTACTTTTAATTAAGATTTAAAATAGCCGCGTCCGCTAAGAGCTTTACATACTATATGCTGCGTATTATGTTGTCACAGTGTTGACATTAAAAAAAAACGATCTACCTTATCAAAGTATGTATAGAAGTCAGACAAAAACCTAACTAAATCAGCGTCATAATATAATGACAAAAATGTAAAACGCGAACAGAATATGTTGGCATAGGAAGAGTAAAATTTAAGAATTGTATATTGACATATGTCGACAAAAAGTAGACTTAAAATAAAAAATAGAATAATATAACGTAATAAATAGAATAACGTTACGTCATTTAAGCAAAATGTCTTTAGAAATTAGACTTGTCAAAAAACATACTGTTATAACAGAAACGAAACACAAATTGAACATGCATTACCATCTCAGATGATAATAGCAAAATGATAGCAGAAATGACCTATAGTCTATCGTCAAGAGATGATAATAATAATAATCGAATTTCGAACAATCTACTACATATATAGGGTGTCCCATTTTAAAGGACCCACTCAAATATCTCAGAAACACTGCGTTAAATCGAAAAATACTTAAGACAAAAGTTGTTTAGCTTGAAGGGGGATATAGGACAGCGATAGCATTTTGTTTATAGATAGCTCCATTTTCGAAATATTTACTAATTATCAATTTTCTTAAGTGGAAATCCAAATTTTTTATTATATCATCTTTTTCTACCAATTAATTTGAACAACTTTTGTCTGAAAAATTTTTTTATTTGCTTAATATATTTCGAGATATTTAAGGAAAACTTGGTAACTTTTCTAACATTTACCTTACGATATCTCGCTAACTATTCGTCGAAAGAAAAAATAGTATTAGACTTTTTTATTTTATTTACTATCAAGAATATACTACTGTAATAGTGCCCTAACTTTTATTAATTTAATAATTTTAAAATTTCCAAAGGTCAGTAAGTTAATAAAAGTTAGGGCACTATTATAGTGATATATTCTTGATAGTAAATAAAGTAAAAACTTTCGACGAATAGTGAGATATCGTAAGGTAAATGTTGGAAAAGTTACCAAGTTTTCCTTAAATATCTCAAAATATATTAAGCAAATAAAAAAATGTTTCAGACAAAAGTTATTTAAATTAATTGGTAGAAAAAGATGATATAATAAAAACAGGGATTTCCATTTAAGAAAATTGATAATCAATAAATATCTCGAAAATGGCGCCATCTATAAATAAAATGCTATCACTGACCTATGTCCCCCTTTAAGCTAAACAACTTTTGTCTTAAGCATTTTTCGATTTAACGCAGTGTTTCTGAGATATTTGAGTGGGTCTTTTAAAATGGGACACCCTGTATAACACAGACAATTGCAGCAACATTGCTGCAACGTTGCAATATTGTATATATATATATAATTTTTTATTTATTATTTATATTTTTTTATTATATTATATACAGTGTCCCATTTTTAATGATCCAGCCAAAACTCTCGAAAAATATGGAATATATTAACAATGAAAGAATTGGAAATGTCCCTTACCGATTTTGATGGACTTTGGATATGTTGTAGAGCAATAAAAAATATTACATGCATATTTTTTTTATCGGCGTTTTTCAAAATTTAGAGGGTGAAACAACCCCTCCAAAGAACTAATATTTTCATTTTTTTGCGAATATCTTCTAAAGTATGAGGTATATGGAAAAATGTTTCCTATAAAAGTTGTACAGTTGTACTTTATACTGTTTGCAACGATATATTCAGATTTTTCAAAAGTGGGAAAATTTTCAACTTCTCCCACTATTTTTTTAATTTTGCAAAATTAAAAAATTTCATGATGACAATAATTAAAGAGCATTTGATGCCGAATCCATCCATATATAATAATACAACATGGTCATGATTAATTTTTAGAAAAACGACATGATATCGTGCTATAGGCGCTGCACTGTAGATAGGTATTGTATTTCTTTTCAGTTGCGCTGTATTCAATAACTGTCTCTTATGCATATTTCCTCATACAATATGCAAGAAAATTAATTTTAATAATACAATATCCAACTTATTACACGAAATAAACATATTAGATGAAAGTGCATATACAGGGTGTTTGATAGCTGATCATGCAGACGAAAGTTGGAGATAGATTGGGTGTAGCCGAGAAGAAAAGTCATGTACCATAATGTCAAATTGCTAATAGTTATCGAGTTATTAATTAAAACATGTGAGCCAACGAGCGCGTAGAGAGCGGAGGGCGGCCGCAGTAAGCACGTAGACATTTGATACAGGCGGAGTGAGCGAGTGACGGTAGGCGAGCGCGCGCGGCGAGGGGCGACGTAAACAACAAGAAGCGAACGCGCGCGACGAGGAGCGAGCGAGCGCAAGTGACAAGAGGCGAGCGAGCGCGAACGACGAGGAGCGAGCGAGCTATGAGGAAAAAGCTATAAAGAAAAAGCTCTCGCTCGCTCCTCGTCGCGCACGATCGCCTCTTGTCGCTTACGTTGCCCCTCGCCGCGCGCGCTCGCCTACCGTCACTCGCTGACTCCGCCTGTATCAAATGTCTACGTGCTTACTGCGGCCGCCCTCCGCTCTCTACGCGCTCGTTGGCTCACATGTTTTAATTAATAACTCGGTAACTATTGCCAATTTGACATTATGGTACATGACTTTTCTTCTCGGCTACACCAAATCTATCTCCATCTTTCGTCTGCATGATCAGCTATCAAACACCCTGTATACACAGAGAGAACGATTTAGTTGAATTTAACAAATGCTTATTTGGAATAGTCCAAATAAATTTTTTGATTGATCGAACGAAGTTTTGTTTGACGCAACAAAAATATTTTGTTGCAGCTTAGTTCCAACGAAATGTTTTTGTTGCGTCAAACAAAATTTTGTTCGATCAATCAAAAAATTTATTTCGACTATTCCAAATAAGCATTTGCTAGATTCAACTAAATCGTTCTCTCTATATAGTGTGGACCATTTAGCACATTGTTGACCGGCAATTTTACTCAGAATTTATCTCATGTCACCGGCGATTATTTTGTAATTGGATGTGGAAGTGAATCAATATAAAGAAACTTTTTTATAACTATTAATTATAAACAAATTTTGTTTAATATTTAACTTTTAATATTTCGTTTTGGTATGATAAACAGTGTAACAATCACCTACGTACAATGGTACACAACAGGTTTTGCAAATATATCTTGTTTCGCTGCGTTTTCCGTCATGGTTGAAATTTCTTTTTTATAGCAAAGGAGACACAACTTGACAGGTTTTATTAGCTAAATATTAGTTAAAGAAAATATTAGCTAAAGGAGCTTACGGTATGCTGAACAACGACTCTACTCTATGTTCTCCGAGAACGCATTGACCCAACGACGCTGATGCGAAACAAAAGCTCTTCGATCACGAGTTTACTCGTGGCCGGTCAGCAACGTTTGAGCATGCCGACACGAGTTAACTCATGACCGGGCAACAATGTGTTAAGTTGATGATGCAAAACATCTAAAAAATGAAGCGTTGGAGAAAAAATGTTTTAAATAAAAATTGTATGGTTTAAAGGGGGTCGTACAAAGGCGTCCTTGGTTTTATCTTGAAATATGTATTTAAGGTCAATTGAAGATTAATCTAATTTTTTAAAATAGAAAGCCCAGTTTTTTATTACATCTTCTTTTTCTACCAATTAATTTAAACAACTTTTGTCTTGAACATTTTTTTTGTCTAGAACATTTACCTAAAATTTTTTGAGATATTAAAAGAGAACTTGGTAATTTTTTAAATATTTAACTTACGATACCTCGCTAGCTATTTGTCAAAAAAAAATAGTACTAGACTTTTTTATTCTATTTAGTCTTAAGAATATATTGTTACAATAGCGCCCTGACTTTTCTTAATTTAATGATTTTTTAATTTCTAAAAGTTAATAAATTAACAAAAGTCAGGGCACTATTGTAACAATATATTCTTGAGAATAAATAGAATAAAAAAGTACTATTTTTTTTCGGCAAATAACGAGGTATCATAAGTTAAATGTTAAAAAAACTACCAAGTTCTCCTTAAATATCTCAAAAATATTAAATAAATAAAAAAGTGTTTCAAGCAATAGTTGTTAAAATTAATTGATAGAAAAAGATGATGTAACAAAATATTGGGGTTTCTGTTTAAGAAAAGTAATGGTCAATGAATGATGTAGTTGTTTTATATCCCCTTTGAAACCATACAACTTTTATCTGAAACGTTTCTTAGTATCTTTCATATTTTTCGAGATTTTTGGCTGGCTCATTTAAAAAAGGACACTCTGTATATATAAGATATATACAGCGTGTTCCAGAATAATTGTGCCAGGAGCTTATGGAAGCATAGAATGAATTAAACTAACAAAGAAATTTTATGCCGTTTTGTGATATTCATAATAATTATCAAGTTATTAATTATAGAAATCTGATAAATGAGCGTATGCCGGGATGGAATTGGAGGAGCATTACAGTCGTTTAAGCTAGTAATGCGGCCCAGTTGATCTAGCAACTGTTGCTAGCG